ATATCCCATTTTTTTCCCTCTTACCTGTTTGGAATTTCTACATTGTATCACCTTTACATGCTTTTTATTTAAAAAAAAAATCAAGCAATACTAAAAGTACAACATAAACAACCCAAATTCTATTACCCAGAAATACATATTAACATCATTCCAGAAAATCTCCCTTTGCTATATAAAGATAAATCTACAAAAATATTCTCATATTATACATACCATACATATATTGTTACTAAGTTTAATAGAAGAAAATGAAGCGGAAACAAAAAGAATTACCCAACTTTAAATACTCTTTTGTAAAATATATTAGTTTCTATGAATCCTTTGAAAGTTTTATAAAAAATACTATAAAAACATTAGGAGGCTAAGGGTCTACTTAATTAACTCTTTTTTTGTTTTTTTAAGAATTATTTATTGAATTTTATTTATTCATTCATTCATTCTTTTTTTTTTTTTTTTGACCAGAGAGTTAGAAAGCGAGAAAGCAAGCCACCAGATCCAGGACTCAAACCATGGTCAATCATGTGAGAGTGTCCAGAGTCTTAACAACCATGCCTCCAGCCGATCCAAAGCTGGTATTTTCTTCTTTGGAGATTTTCTTCCTTTTCTCTCTGAAGTGTTTAGATTTATTCTTTTTATTTTATTTTATTTTTTAAGAGACTTTTTGCTAAATGATGCATTTGCTCACTGCAGAGACAGAGAAACAGGAAGTGAGAAATCACCCCCAGGAGGGATGGCCATGCCACATTCCCTTCTCCTCCATTCTCCTCTGGGGATTTGGGCACACACGCACATGCCCCTGGCATGATGTTAACCCACAGGGTCCTTGACTCAAAACTGCAGTCCAGTGATGTAACCGTTACGCCCTCTGCTGGTTCCTCTTTTTCTTTTGATTTTAAATTTTACTATGATAGATTTAGGTGTGGCCTTTTGTTTTCCAACCTAGTTGGCCCTCTGTAAGATCTTCCATTCTGAAATGTTAGATTGTTGTTTAATTGTGGCACATCCCTGGTCCCTATTTCTTTAATTATCTTCTCTTTTCCTTGCGATCTTTTTTTCTCTCTCTGGAACTACCATGAGAAACATGTTGACACTTGGGTTTTTATCACATTTTTTTCCGTTTTAAAACCCAGTGTTAATGCCTTCTCAGAGAGGGTCTTCATTAACCTTCTTGCTCACCAGTTCAGGCTTTCACCACGCTCTGCTCTTGTACCCACCAACCCTTTAAGTGTCCTTATCGAAAGTCTTATTTTTTCAAACCCAGACCTTCCCTTCTGTGGTTCTAACAGCTTCCCTCCACTCTGCTTTTCCAGTAGCCTCCCAGAGCTCACTGAGGCTGTGGCAGATCCTTGTTGAAGTGCTCATTCTTTGTTTTCCATTAGGTCTGGGCTTCCGGTGTAAACCATTCTAGTCTTCTCTGTCTCTCACAGCGCAAGTGATTCTCTGCTGCCTGGGTCTCTGCCTTCGGCATGGAGCTTGTATTCCTTGGTGTGCTCAGCTGCCTCGCTTGCGTGTTCTGCCTGGGAGCATTGCGACAGAAGCTCAGGCCTCACAGATAACACAGCCTGGTGGGAAAGGGTGCAGGACTGCAGTGCAGAGCTGGAGAGGCGTCTCCCGGAGAGGCATGGCAGGAGCTGGTGGGCCCAATACTTGTTAGCTGGGGTGTCCTACCTGAGCCTGGCTCTACCGTAATTTCTTAGCTGTGCTTCTGTGTATCTGCCCCCGAGAAGGACGTGAGTGGCCCAGCTAGAGGACACTGCTTGGATCTGCCCCTCTTTGGTGGCCCCAGCCTGTGCCTGTGGTCAGGAACTAAGCACTTCTGGTCCCCCTGGCCCTCTCTGCTCTTTCAGCTTCTTTTCTCCTTCTCTTTTTAAAACTGATTTCAGCATTTACTTTCTTTTTTTTTGTCATTGTTGAAGTTTGCTTTTATGGGGGAGGAAGAGAAGAGGCAGGGTCTTTACACCTCCAACAGGGTCTTGACACCATGATCTACCCCCGGCTTTGGCCAGTCCCCCTCATGGGCAAGCGTGTGCTTGGCATACTCAGGGAGGATTGCAGATGTGAACCCGGAACCCTCCCATGGAGTTCAGCCTCACAGAGCGCCCGCTCTGCTGCTGCGCCACCCTCTGGCCCCCGCAGTTCCTTTTTTTCCCGTGTGGTGTCTCCAGGATTGGTGTCTCTGCAGGGAGCCAGGGTGTTGGTTATCTATCACCTCCAGAACTGGGAGCTCAGATCCAAATTTATAGATTGTGAAGAAATAGTACTCGTGGTCCAGCCCTGGCCTGGCGCTTCAGTGAGTCGGATCCCACTTGGTGGCGCGTGCAGTTGGAGTCCCAGACCTGGCAGCTTGAGGAACACGTGGAGCCCCTCCTCCATGCCCAGAACCCTGAAAGGAGGGAGAGACGGAGAAGAGATTGTGGTGGGACCATGCCCCATGTCTCCTTTCTCCCTCTCTGTCTTTCTCTGGCAAGCATACACACCTCTACAAATTAAAAAAAAAAAAAAAAAGAGAGAGAGAGAGAAAGAAAAATAGTACTTTCCTTTTGGAGAAAATACAAGTAGTTTCCATTTGATTAAATCCTCTGGATTATAATTCTTTGTCTTAATTAAAAAAATTGCATGTATGTTGGTTTTCTTTTTTTTAAATTATTTTTATTTACTTTTATTATCATTATTATGTCTTTTCAACTTGCTACAGGGCACATGTACGAGAGAGAGAGAGAGAGAGAGAGCGAGCGAGTTACCAGGTCCGGGACTCAAACTGTAGTTGGTTATGTGGGAGTCCAGTGCCTTAATTACCATGCCACCTGCTGGCCCCTCCTTTTCTTTTTCTAAACAGGGTTTTGCGATGTGTGGTCCCCTTGCCTCAGCCTTACTGGTAACTAAGAATACAAGGTGTGTGCCACTGTACCAGCCTTTAGGTAGGACTGGGAATCGAAACTGGGTCTCCCTTGTGGCCTCCCCTGCCAAGCAGCAGTGTCTCCCAGTGGGTGCCGCTATGACTGGGTTGGCGTCGTGAGTCTTTGTTTTTTGTTTCTTTTGAGACAGATTTTTGCTACAGGGCGTGTGCACTTGCCAGAGAGACAGAAAGCGAGAAATCACCCCTCAGAGGTGATGGCCACACTGAAGTCCCGTCTCTATTCTGTTCTTGGGACAATCGGTACTCACGCACATGCGCCTGGCATGAGTTTGAAGCCCCCGGGGCTGGGACTCAAAACCTTGGTTGACTACATGGGAGTCTAGCGACATAACCATTATGCCATCTGCTGGTCCCGGCACTGTGCTTGGAACCTGGAACATTTGATCTTCTAAAGGATAACATCTTAGACAATCTTTTGGGGAATAAGCTTTTTCTTTTTGTTTGGTGAAGTCTGAAAAATAACACAATAACTCTGTCCATATGTTTTAGTGTGAAGGCCATCATCACATGAGTTTCTGGAGGACATTCTGTCCTTTGAAAGCTTTTTTTTTTTTTTTTTTTTTTTTTTTGGGAGAGGTTTTTGCTATAGGGCACGTGCACTTGCCAGAAAGACAGAGACAGAGAGACAGAAAGTGAGAAATTATCCCCCAGGGTGGATGGCCATGCCACAATCCCTTCTCCTCTATTCTCCTCTCGGGATCTTGGGCACGCACACACACACGCTCAGCATGAGTTTTAAGACACTGGGTCTGGGACTCGAACCGTGGTCGACTCTGTGGGAGTCCAGCGACATAGCCATTATGCTAACTGCTGGTCCCAGTCCTTTGAAAGCTTTATGACCATTGATGAGGTCTTTATCCATACACGCTTACACCTGTCATATAGCTCTCGGAGTTGGAATTTCTTGAAATTAATGTGGCATGTCTCATTATTGTAAGACATCTAGGATATACGGAGCATACTTCAGCGCTGCGTTTAGTATATTTTGAGGCTACAGTAGTAATGTTGGGTTACTCTCAGCAGTTAATTATTGAGTACTCTTCTGCAACTGGAAGTTAAGTTTACAATAGGCTGTTAACGTTCATTTATGTGGTGATAAGATTTCTCATCTGTGCTAATATTTCTCCTGGGTTCTGCGTCATGATTCCCCTAAATAATGTAGTAGTGACACAGTTTAGTGTTTTTGCTTATTGACCAAACTCAAAGAACTTTTCAGACAACACACCTATAAATTTTTCTAAGAAAGGAATTGCGAGGTGTTTACTGGTGTATTTTCAATATCTGACATATAGTAGGGTTACTAAATTCTTGTGGACATAGTAAGCATTATAATTCCCTGCTTTTTGTTAAGTTTTTGCTATAGAGCTCATATGCTCACGAGAGAGTGGGAGAGAAAGTGAGAAATCATCTCCCATGAGGATGGCCATGCTGCAGTCCCTTCTCCTCCACTCTCTTCTTGGGATTTTGGGCATGCACACACAAGTGCCTGGCGTGATTCTCAAGTGTCAGTGTCCCAGACTTGAACTGCCCAGCTGGCCATGTAGGATCCAGTATCTTAACCTCCACACCACCTACTGGCCCTGTTTTAAAGATGTTCATATTGCTACAGGCAGAAGATTCAAATGGCTTGGTGTGTTAGGGATATGCTGTGAATAGTAAAGATCTTTTGAAAGATGGAGTCAATAAAAAGTTGGTCACAGTGTCAACAACCTACCCATTATTTAAAAATGACCTGTGATGGGACCAGCAGATGTTGTAATGGTTACATCACTGGATTCCCATGTGGTCTACCATGGTTCAAGTCTCTGACCTGGGGGCTTAAAATTCACGCCAGGTGTATGTGTGTAAGTGCCCAAAATCCCAGAGGAGAATGGAAGAGAAGAGATTGCGGCATGACCATCCTCCCTGGGGGGGATGATTTCTTGCTTTCTATCTCTCTGTTTCTCTCTGAGAAGCACAGGTGCCCTTTAGCGAACATCTCTCTCTCTCTCTCAAAAGAAAAGGAAAAAGAAAAAAGCCTGTGCTTGAGTTTCACCCCAGAGATCCTGATTTAATTGATCTGAGAGCTTCCTGGGGACGGAGATTTGTAAGAAATCTCAAGACAATATGCAGCCATTATTTTTTCATCCTATAAAAGAAATTTGTAGGCAGGCTTTTCTGGATTGGTTTGGGGTTCCACAGGTTGCAGAGGCTCTCGTTGTCTCTCACTTTCTGCTTCACCATCCCTTGATGTGGGGTATCCTCACAGGTCGGTAGGACTGCTGGAATTCCAGCTACGATATCCGTCGTCCAAAAAGCAGGTGAGGAGGGAGGAAGCCATACGTCACGGTCCCTCATTGACCGGAACTCAGTTGGCCATATCTAGGGAGGAAAGTTGGGAAGCATCTTCTGTCATATTGGGTCATCGGAAAAGTCATAATGTGTATTTCTGTTTTTCTATGCAAGTGTGTCATGACTTCTCTGAAGACCCAGTGGTATGTCGTGCCCAGCAAAACGCTAGGTTTCTCTTCATCTGAGAGAAAAAGTAAGATAGATATTTGTCAGGGAGTCGGCTGGCTCTGTCACACCTGGTTTCCGAGCATGCATGCATCGATATCAGAGCAGAGATTCAGATACTGGTTTCAACCCAATCATCTTCCTACTCCTCCTAGCAAAAATGCAGTGTGAATATTGGCAAATGGCTGGGGGTGGACTTAGGCCAGAAATGTTTGGAAAATAATAGTTGGTTTCCCCCTGCTTTCTCTTGAAGATGCATCAAGAGAACTGACTTGCTTCATGAGAAAGTAGGGTCTTGGGGACCCAGGAATCTAGTAACGCAGCTCAGGATGTGCCAGAGACAAGGCGTGTTTGGCCTCTGACCGGCGTTTGTTCACTTTGGACACAGTCACTCCGTTCGTTTTTTTTTTTTTTGGAGAAGTTTTTGCTATCGGGCGCATGTACTTGCCAGAAAGACAGAGAAAGACAGAGAGATAGAAAGCGAGAAATCACCCCCAGAGTGGATGGCCATTCTCCTCTCAGGATCTTGGGCACATATGCACATGCGCTTGGTGTGAGTTTAAGCCACCGGGTCCGAGACTTGAACTGCGGTCGACTACATGGGAGTCCAGCGACATAGCCATTACGCTAACTGCTGGTCCCACTTTGTTCTTCCTTACACATCCTCTTTCTGGGCTTCTGGTGTTGCTCCTCCCTCTGCCTTGTTGACTTGTCTGGAAGAGAAATTTGGACTGTCCCAGTTCCTCCAGGCTGGGTCCCAGACTCCGTCCTGCCTGCCTTCCTCTCCTCGTCTTCTCTTTCTGTGCAGTCTCATCTGTCCCTCTGTCCTTGGGCACTCCCGAGTAGGTCAGATTTTATTGACTCTCTGCCACCAGGACACACTCTCACAGCTAAAGCTTTGCCTTTACTTTAGTAAGTATTGTCTGCTGTCCCCCCGCTCCCTATATGAGAACAGGGACTTTGAATGCTCCCCCGCCCCATCTCAGTGTACCCTTAATACTTAGCACTATAGCTGGCTCACAGTAGGTACTCAGTAAGTTAAAAAAAAAAAAAGTGAATTTTTGCTAATAAAACTTGGTTTGGGACCTAGAGCTAACTTCTGGTGATTGATTGATTTATTAATTGCTAGAGGCCATACTCAGCAGACAGGCACCCCCCATGGGGTGCGGTCATACTGCAGTCCCTTCTCTGCTGTCTCTCCATCCTGTCCGAATTTGGGGCGTACACACACAGGCACCCCCCTCCCATTTTCAATTTGCTAGAGTGCACGTACTTGCCAGAGAGAGGAAAAGCAAGAAAGCACCCCTACACACACACACACACACACACACACACACACACACTCACACACACATGGGGGATGGTAACTCCATGATCCCTTCTCCGTTTGTTCTTTTGGGATTTTGGGCATGCATGTATACACACCCACTGTGTTTTTTCAAGCCGCTGGATCTGGGACTTGAACGTGTAGTTGGCCATGTGGGACCCAACTCCTTTAACCACTGGACTATGGAGCTGGTTCTAGAACTATCTTCTTCAAAACCTCGTTGAATTTGCACTGATACTTTTTTCTTTTAACCATCACATGAGTTAAACTTAATGAAATATCCAGAGTGCTTTTTCCATCAGTATAGCGACTGCACTGAGAACTGAGGGCGACTCCCTGCCTAGGAATATTTCCATGGCGCCCCGCCGGGAACAGCAGATACAGGCTCTCATCCTAAGTTCTGGCTTGTTGGCATCGTAGTAAATGAACTAGACTGATGTGAGCATCGGTATCAGATCCGATCTGGTTTGCTGTCTACATTTGGGCATGCGATCCATACAGTTGGGATTCGTTTCTTCTAAGCAACGACTTTAGGCACAGGGATGGTGGCGTGGTCTGCAGAGAAGTCGCTTTTGTGCTTTTGCAAACGCAGAAACAAGCTCACAGTAACTTATCCAAGGTTACAACGACGAGAGAACCAGTGTCTCCCATGGTGCGGCCTCCACGGCATCAGCGTCACCTGGGAACTTGTTAAATGCACATTCCCGTATTCCACCCTCGTCTCTTGAATTAAGCACTTGGAGTACTAGTTGGGGGTACCCCCTATTTTAACCCCAGGGCTTTTAGCCAGGGGCAGAATCTTCTCCAGGGAGTCTTCCAGTTTAGAGGACAAAACAGAGATGCGAGTCAGGATCCAGCCCGTCTCAAGGATCCACAGGGATGTTCGTTCTCAGCGTGGTTGACAGCAAGAATGAAAATATGATCTGGGAGTGTTAAGACACAACTGGATATTTTGAAATGTACTGAAAATAGCGTGACGTTCTCCCCTACGGGCACCCGAAACCTGAGAGTTAACCGTGCAGGTGAGGAGGCTGTCTCCTGAATGCTTGTATTCTTCCCTTAAATCACCAGGTCTTTAAAAGCAAATTGAATCTCATCATAGATCAAATCCATGCGCAGTGCATCAAATCTTGTGCTAAAAGTTCCCTCTGACTCGGGAACCAGCAGTTAGCGTAATGGCTATGTCGCTGGACTCCCACGTAGTCGACCGTGGTTCGTGTCCCGGACCCGGTGGCTTAAAACTCATGCCGGGCGCATGTGCGTGCGTGCCCAAGATCCCGAGAGGAGAATGGAGGAGAAGGGATTGCGGCGTGACCATCCCCCTGGGGGGTGATTCCTCGCTTTCTGTCTCTATGTCTCTCTCTGTCTGTCTGGCGAGCGCACGCGCCCTACAGTGAAAATCTCTCAAAAAAAAAAAAAAAAGTTCCCTCTGACTTATGCTGGTGCTTTATCAGGTGCCCCCCGAAGTGCCGTCTCTCGGGCTGGTGGCTTTTAATCGTCAGGGGTGTCATTCAGCCTGGTCGCTGGGGCCTCTCTGCTTAGGTGATACGAGGTGATGACTGATTATGCAGGAAGTCCATGCCAGGTGGTTTCTTAGCTTTTGTCTAAATCCTTCTCAAAAATAACTTCCAAAGTGATAGAACCAAGAAATCTTCTGCCTGGGCTGTTGTGATTTAGGGAAGGTTGGCTTGGACTCTTTTGAACCGAGACAAAATGAAGTCGACTAACAAATAATATATTCGTCCTGGTTTCATTGGCATGTATATTCTCAGATGCTTTTTGAATTAATGATTGGGGAGGAAGCTTGGCAGGCAGGAAGGAAAATGGTGGCGGATATCTTTGTAAGGTGTTATCTTTGCTTTTGGATTGAGTTTTACACTTTAGGGTGTTTCTGTTTCACTTGGGCAAGTTTTTGAAATTCACCTGCCTGATTTCTGACCTCTACCACAAAGATTCTCTAGGTATATAGTGGGAGTCAGGAATCCATTTATTATCATTATTTTTAAATAATTATTTTATTTAAATTTCTATATTATTATTTTAATTTGACCAGAAATAGAGAGAGGGAAAGTGAGAAAGGAAGCCATCAGGCCCAAGTCTCAAAGCATGGTTGGCCATGTGGGGGTCTGTCTAGCGCCTTAACTACCCCACCACCTGCTGGCCCCCAAAATTTATGATTTTAACATTTGCTATGAGGAGTGTTCACTTGCTAGAGAAATAAGACACCCTGCAGAGGGATGGCCACCCCACAATCCCTTCTCCATCATTCTCCTCAGGGTTTTTGGCAACCAGTGTGTTTTCCAAGCCAGGGGGTCTGGGACCTGAACTACGTAGTTGGCCATGTGGGATCCAGATTCTTTAACCACCACGCCACTGACTGACCTGGGGAAGGATTTTAAGCTGCAGAGCTAGCTCGCTGTTGCCGTTGGTCAGGGCAAAGCTCAGTGTGGGGGTCTGAGCCCTGTCCGTGCTTCTGGCAGCTTGAAGATGCATCTCAGAGGACAGTGACTGGGAGGCTGGCAGACCCCAGGAGGCAGGACCACCTGCCGGCAGCGCAGTGCCATTTCTCGGTCATGGCCTCGCCGGCTCTGGCCCCGACATCTGGTAGAGACGAGGTGGCATGTCCCGAGGACTGAGAGCCTGGGGATCACAGTAACATGGCCGTGGAAGGTATTCTGCATGGTCTTCAGGGCGTGGCCTTTTACTCCCCTGGTTTTGATTTTCACTGCAAGTTAGGCGAGGCCCAGCCATGGGGGTACAGGTGGCAGGAGGACACCACTGCTCAGTCCGAGAGCCGTATGGGAGGCCAGGGTGCAGACCCCGGATCGGCCTGAATAGGCCGGGCTCACCCGTGGTCTTGGCTGGGAAGCTGGAAGAAGGCTCATGGCCTGACAAGACAATGCAGAGGGTATGCCCCCTTCAGAAAGTAAATATAAATTTAAATGAAGGGACCAGATGGTGGCACAGGGCTAAAACACCGTGCTCTGTGGGCTGACCCCCACGGGAAGATCCCGGGTTCACATCCAGAATATTCCAGGCATGCTTGTGCCCATGATCCTGGCTGGCTGGGTGGATTGTGGCCTCAAGACCCCATTGGAGATGCTAAACCTTTCTCTCTTTCTCTTTTACTATATCTCGGGGAAGAAATAAGTAAACTTAAAAAGATTTAGATGAGATGATTTCACTTTTTGTCTGGACCAGTCCAGAAAAGTTCCTCCTCAAAAGGAAGGTTTCTCCTCTGCGTGTTTTCCCCTCTGAAATTCTCTCCTCGTGTGCCCGTCACGTCTGCCTGTCTGTGTTAATGAGCACCTTCCCTGCTGCCCCAACTGTCTTCTCAAGTCCATCCTGCCTGGGGCTGGACAGTGGCTGTTGCAGCACCCCTAGATTCTTCCCCCCCCCCCCCCAAGTAAAAATGTGCTTTTATCAACTTTCAGATTCTGCAGTTGAACCTTAATCAAGCTACATCAGGCAGAAGGTTGGGTAGGTTTTTTTTTTTTTTTTTTTTTTTTTTGAGAGGTTTTTACTATAGGGCGCATGCACTCGCCAGAAAGACAGAGAGAGACAGAGAGACAGAAAGCGAGAAATCACCGCCCACGGGGGATGGCCACGCCACAATCCCTTCTCCTCCATTCTCCTCTTGGGATCTTGGGCATGCACGCACATGCGCCTGGCGTGTGTTTAAGCCACTGGATCCGGGACTCAAACCATGGTGGACTACATGGGAGTTCAGCGACATAGCCATTACGCTAACTGCTGGTCCCGCATGGGTAGGGTTTTAATGGGCTCCTGGTACTGACACCCCTTCAGAATTGCAGGACTGAGAAAGCCCAGTGAGTAGGTAAGGGCAGTGCTGTGTGGGGAAGGGAGTGTGCAAGAGCACTGCAGGTGAGTGTGAATGCATGTGAGTGTGTGGGTGGTTCTATGTGTGTGTAGAGTTGTGCAAGTGTGCACGGGCTGGTTTGTGAGCATGAGAGTGCCAGTATGCATGAGCGTGAATGTGAGCTCCTGTGTGTGCATGTGTTTGAGTGTGGGCGTGTGAGCGCCTGTGCGTGAGTATGAGATTGTGTGGGTATTCGTGTGAGTACATCTGAGTGTTAGTGTGCACGTGCGCAAGTGTGAGTGTGTGTGCACTGTTTCTTCCGAGAGCAGTGGGATCTGTCTGAGGCTTCTAGTAGACACTAGCTTGTCCTTGGTCTGCATAACCCTCAGCTTTGGAGTTGAGCAAGATGGCCACCACAAGCTGACTGGCTAAGAATTCATTGGTGTTCTTTATGGGGTTTTGGTGTATATGTGGTTTCCAGAGGGAGATAGAGAGAATGAGAGAGACAGAAAGTGAGAAAGCACTCCTTCCCTATCCCCCATGGGGCGTGGTCACACTGCAATTCTTTCTCCTCTCTCTCTCCCTCCTTTCAGGATTTCGGGCATACATACACGGGTGTCCAAACCACATGGTTGGCCATGAAGGATACAGCACCTTAGCCACCAGACTAAGGGCCTGTCCATGGGTTGTTTTATTGTTACTATTTTTATATTACTAGAGGGTGCATACTTACACCACAGAGACAGAGAGGGAGAGAGCACCCCCACCCCCAGTGGAGCACGGCCACACTGTAGTCCTCCTCCATCCCTTCTGGACTTCGGGCAGATGCACATATGCCCAGCGTGTTTCTCAAGCTGCCAGGGCTGGCATTCAAACCATGGTTTCCCATGTAGGATCTGTCTTCCTTAACCACTAGGAAACAGGGCTGACCCCTTCATGGGTTGGTTTGATTTCTCCTCTCACTTCCTCCCCTCTCCCCACAGCATGCTTACTGATTTTTTTTTTTTTTACATAGTAAGGGGAACACGCATTCCCTGTGTATCATTAAGTTCATTTGCACAGCAGAGAAGGTGCATCTCACAGCCCAGACACTAATGAGAAACAAACAGAACCTAGAACCCGGTTTGCCTCACTCACTTCTCTGGAAGAGAAGACCTTTTTAAGAATGTTTCAGGATTTTATGTAACGATTTCTCTTGGTTTCATGAAACCTAATCCAGATGTCTGCTTAGCTCTCCCATTTGGAATGAAAGCTGTGATTTTGAGATGGAACTATGGACTCCGAAGAGCAGTGCCCGACAGAGCCGTGACCCTGTAGGAACCAAATTTAATTTCTTTCCACCCAGGGGATGTGATCATCAGAAATTGCCCTTCTTAACACCTCATGGACAGATCTTACTTGTTACGACTCAGCCGACTTAACTGTCCAAGGCCTTGCTTAAAGAACACTTTATTTATGGCCTGTTTCAGTTTTTAATTCCATAGTGCAGTTTCCCATCACGCCTCCTCAAATATGATAAAAATTTTAGCTGTCTTTAGAAAAGGAATAAATTATTGATGGGCTTCCCGAGCACATGATTCAGACCGAAGCATTTGCATCTAAACTATTTTAGGAAGCAGTGGAAACATGATTTCCCCCCATCGGAGGCAGGAGGTTAGAATTAAGATGTCAGTTTCGCATAGGTGATGTGAGAAATCACGAATGTGTCCCCATAGCCTACAGGATGTGACATCAATCGGCTATTCTGTCGTTCTTGCTGAAAAAATAAAACAGCATGCAATTGATTTCTTAGTACCAGCTTCCAAATAGTGTCCTTTTCAAATACATAGTTACCCCTTCGAGTAGGATGCATTTGGGAGCTGCCTCTGGGGGAGAGGAAAGCGACAGGTTCCCGGCCAGTAAGTTGGTAGAACCAGGAAGAAGGTCCAGCCTTTCCTCTAACCCCATCCATGGCGCAGAGTGGATGGGGAAGTTGAGGGATTGGAGGGGAAGTTCCTTTTGCCTTTTCCCTGAAACCATATCCCTTTCTATACGATAGTTGGGTGCTCATCAGTGGAGTTGCTGCAGCTCCCTCCCCGTGGCGGGGCATGGGGTGGGGAAGGTGGGGCACAAAGTGCTGTGGTTTGAACCTCGTCTCCTTCTTCCACTTTTAAAGAAGTGTTGGGGAACCAGCAGATGGCATAATGGTTATATCGCTGGACTCCCATGTAGTTGACCTCGATTCGAGTCCCCAACCTGGAGGCTTAAATCTCATGCCGGGTGCATGTGCATGTGTGCCTAAAATTCCAAGGAGAAGGGATTCATCCCACTGGGGGATGATTTCTTGCTTTCTGTCTCTCTGGTGAGTGCATACACCCTATAGCAAAAAAAAAAAAAAAAAAAAAAAGTAGTATTATTGGAACCAGTAGATGGCATAGTGATTACATCATTAGACTCCCACATGGTCGGCTGCAGCTTGAGTCCTGGACCTGGTGGCTTGAAAATCATGCCAAGTGTGTGTGTGTGTGGGTGTGTGTGCCCCAGATCTTGGGAGGAGAGTGGAGGAGAAGGGATTATGGTACGGCTATTGCTCCTGGGGGGTGATTTCTTACCTTCCCTCTCACTTTCTGTCTTGTTTTGATGAGCATATGTTCCCTAAGACAAAACTTCAAAAAAAAAAAAAAAAAGAAAGAAAGAAGAAAGAAAGAAAGAAAGAAAGGAAGAAAGAAAGAAAGAAAGAAGTATCGCTGATGCTCTGACTTGCCCTGAGCATGCACCACGACAGTCACCAGGACTTTCGATATAGGTCAGGTGGAAAACATCACTCCCAGGAAGAGGGCAGAGTCAGCCCTGAAATAATTTGACCATTGGAAGCTCAGAAATCACCCCGTGGAAGTGAGGTTTTTGCTCCATGTTAATGAGTAGGAGCCAATTTCAAGTCTAGAAGGATGTGGAAATAAAAATTCAAAACAAACAGAAACAAAACAGAATGCATTGTTGTGTATGTGGTAACACAGGCCAGCTGCTGTAACAGATCCTGATGTTAGTGGCCTTATTAAAATGCCTTTCTCATTCACGCAGCAGTCGGGAGGGGGGTGATTCGCAGGCTCCTTCCCTCTTGTGCCTTTCCCATACCCGGTGTAGGGGGTCCTAAACTTTCCTGTAGATCATCTTGGTCCTGTGTCTGTGAGTGTGCGTGTACATGTGCGTGTGTGTGTGCGTTAGAGAGTCTCACGAGCCAGGCATGCATTCCTTCCCGTGTTCTGTGGACTAAAGCTCTACAGCCACACCCTCACCACAGGGAGAACTGGGGAGTGTTCTGGCCTTGCTCCCTGGGAGAGGAGGAAAGGGAATTGGCGGTGGTGGTTTAGGCCAGCGCTTCTCAAACTTGATCTGCAACTGAACTACCTGGAAGTTGGTTAAAACAAAGTTTCTTGGGGGACCAGCAGATGGCATAATGGTTATGTCACTGTATTCCCCAAATCCCGAGACGTGAATGGAGGAGAAGGGACTGCAGTGTGGCTATCCCCCCAGGGGGTGATTTTTCACTTTCTCTGTCTCTCCAGTCAGCGCACACACCCTATAGCAAAAATCTCTGTGAACAAAGAAAAAAAACAACACAGCTTCTTGGGCTCCCCCACCCCCAGATTTCCTGATTCAGCAGGTCTGGGTGGGGCTGAGAATTTACATTTCTGATCGGCTCCCAAGTACTGTTGACCTGATATTGCTGGGTGAAAGATCCCTCTTTGAACAGCCCTGGTTTATGCTCTGGTTTTGTGTCTTGGTCTGTTCATGCTAAACCTGAGGACCAGATGTGTCGTTCATTAGCACAGCGACCTGAGGGATTGGAGAGGAGGAGGAAAACATTTTCTATGCAATTATACGTCATGACTTTTCTGACAAGCCAATAGATAAATAATCTTGGTCAGGCCATCTGGAATATTAAAAACAGTTCAAATAGAAGGTGGGCTGACCCTTGGGCAGCAGTTAAGCTCTTTACAGAGGAAGCTGAATCCCACATGGCCCACCAGAGTTCGAATCCTGGCCCCTTGGGGGTAAGCTCCCAGGATCCTGACACCGTGGAGAATTGGGGGGAAAGGGATTATAATGGGACACCTTGCGAGGCAGTGCGTGTTTGCCTGCTTGCTGTCTCTCTGGTGCACATACCTTCTGACGTTGAAAACCAACCAAGATAGAGACCAGCAGTTGGCGTAATGGCTATGTCACTGGACTCCCACGTAGTCGACCGTGGTTCGCGTCCCGGACCCGGTGGCTTAAACTCATGCGGGGCATGTGTGCGTGCGTGCCCAAGATCCCGAGAGGAGAATGGAGGAGAAGGGATTGCAGCGTGGCCATCTCCCCTTGGGGGTAATTTCTGGCTTTCTATCTCTGGCTCTCTTTGTCTTTCTGGCAAGCACACGCACCCTATAGCAAAAACCTCTCAAAAAAATAAAAAGGTAAAGAAAACCAACAAAGATAAAAGAAGTTTTCATAGAGGACTGGGACACAGACCGAGCTATGAGATGACCTTACTGTGTTCTGTGGGAGGGGTGAGGAGGGGCCGCTCTTGGCGGGCAAAGGCACTTCAGCCTCATTGGCTCCGTTGGGGTAGGCAGGTCTGGAAAACCGAGAGGCTGGTAAGAGAGGGCTGGAGGGAGAATTGAAGGAGGCTTTGCTGCCATGGACCAGGTTGGACTCAGACACTGGAATTCGAGGGCCTCCGAGTCTCTGAGGATCTGTCCAACAGGGATGCCATGTGTCTGTTGGTGAGAACAAGGAAGATTTTAGGTTTGCAAACAACTTGGTTCTGCTTCTAGGTGAGAAGGACTAGCTAGAGCTTTCACCTACTAAGCGCTGAGCTCCACACGGCTGCATAGCTATTTGTGTCTTGGTGGCTCAGTAGCCCCACGGAAAATAACGTCAATGGAAACACAGCGGTTTTCTTTCTTTCTTTAGAGACACAATTAGGCTGGCAGGTGGCATGGTGGTTAAGGACGCTGAACTCCCACATGGTCAACCACAGTTCGAATCCTGGACTTGGCCGCTTGCTTTCTCACTTTCTCTCTCTCTCTCTGGTCAAATTGAAAAATAATGATGATGAATAAATACTTTTTAAAAACACACAGTTAGTTATTAAGGGGACGCGTGAACCTGTAGGCATTGTGTAGCTTTCCAGTCCCTGGATATCTTAGATGTCGTTGTTCTCATCCTGTCCATGTTATTTTAAAGTTTATCTTTTTTTGAGAGAGAGAGATTTTTTTTCTGTAGAGTACATGTACTTGCCAGAGAGGTGGAGGAATAGACTGAAAGCGAGAAATCATGCCCCCTCCCCGGGGGGGGAGGCGGGGTATGGTCACACCACAATCCCTTCTCTATTCTTCACTCAAGATTTTGGGCATGGGAACCAGCAGTTAGCGTAATGGCTATGTCGCTGGACTCCCACGTAGTCGACCGCGGTTCGTGTCCTGGACCCGGTGGCTTAAAACTCACGCCGGGCGCGTGTGCGTGCATGCCCAAGATCCCGAGAGGAGAATGGAGGAGAAGGGATTGCGGCGTGACCATCCCCCCTGGGGGGTGATCTCTCGCTTTCTGTCTCTATGTCTCTCTCTGTCTGTCTGGCGAGCGCACGCCCCCTACAGTGAAAATCTCTCAAAAAAAAGAAAAAGATTTTGGGCATGCATGCACATGCACCCATTATGAGTTTCAGGCCACCCGGTCTGGGACTAGAACCACAGGTGGCCATGTGGGAGTTCAGTGACGTAGCCATTACGCCCTCTGCTGGTCCCTTAAAGTTTAGCTTTCTTCCATAAGTAGGAGAGACAGAGAGATTGGCAGGAACAAGATGGGAGAGAGACTCGGGGGTAAGAGATCCAGGGGAGAGAGATGGGAGGAAGACAGGGGAGAGGTGGGGTGAGACAGTGGGAGAGAGAGGAGAGATGGTGGGGAGAGACATGGGAGAGGGAGAGACAACACCCAGCAGGATGTGGAGACGGCAGTCCGCCCCAGCCCCGTCCAACAATGGCTCACGAGCATGCACGTGCCCCGCCTGCTCAGGGTGGTCTCCGGCCGAAATCTGGAACCTTCCCAAGGGGGGAAGAGCAGTGTTTTCCTGCCCCCACTGCCTGGCCCCACCTGTTCTGTACTGACGTCTGTTTTCTCCCAGCACCCATGACCCCCGCGGTAAAGATACCTTCTCCCTGAAAGGGACTGAGTACAAGCCAATGCCCAAACGCGAAAACTGCCTGTTGGTCCTGGGGCTGGTGTCTGACCTCCGCCGAGCCTCCACTGGCACCCCTCGACGATGCAGGACACTTTGTAGTGTCTCTGTGAGGTCACCCCAAGACCCAGGTGCCTTGGGACATAGAGGGGGATGTGGGGTTCAGTGGGGACTTTTCATTCATCCCTTAGCAAGTGATAACTGAGGAGCGGAGGAGCGTCAGGCTCTGCTGGGCCCTGGGGAAACACCCTCCTCCTCCACAGAGTGCAGTCTGGTGGGGACACGGGGCACGCAGTCAGGCAGGCATGCAGATTCCCCCGGGGCTTGTATGATGAAGGAGCATTTCAGGGTGCTGCAAGGAGGGACTTTGACCTGCTTGTGTTGGCACGAAGCAGGGAGAACTGTCTAGGCAGGGGTGGGGGGATGGCATTCTGGGTGACGACTTCTGAGGCTGTCATGGGTGACCTGCTCCCTTCCTGTCACCAACTACACGGTGACCTGACTAGCATGTAGCTCATGTGTGTCATGTGTGTTCAGCAGCATCTGAACTGCTTCATGAGACAGGGCCTAACCAAATCCAAGGAAAACTGCAAAAGACTCTCCTGGACTATGAAAAGTTTGTGGATCGGGGCTGGCAGGTGGCATGCTGGTGAAGGCACTGGACTCCCACATGGCTGACAGTGGTTTGAGTCCTGGACCTGGCAGCTTGCTTTCTCACTTTCCCTTTCTCTTTCTCTCTGGTCAAAAATAAAATAGTTTTGTTTTTAAGAGAGATGTTTGCTATAGGGCATGTACACTCATGGAGAGATAGAGACAGAAAATTAGAAATCACCCCCTAGGGGGGATGGCCACACCACAATCCCCTCTCCTCCATTCCCCTCTCCAGGTTTTGGGCACGCACGCACATACGCCCGGTGTGAGTTTCAATCTGCAGGATATGGGACTCGAACCACAGTCGACTACGTGGGAGTCCAGCGATGTAACCCTTCCGCCATCTGCTGGTCCTTTTCTCCCCGTTTGGGCTGACTCCTGTGCGGCTCCTGGGGGAGACTTTTAGTTTCCAGCTCGTGGGTTTGGAACCTGAGGCCGACTCAATTGCTTGGCTTTTCTGTTTCCCGTGTGGGACAGGCGGGGGCCGACAAGTGATGTCCCTGCCTTCTCTGTGCAGGTACTTCGTCCTGGACTTCGAGGCCGGCACCCTGCAGTATTTCGTGAACGAGCAAAGCAAGCACCAGAAGCCTCGAGGAGCCCTGTCTCTGTCTGGAGCCATCGTGTCCCTGAGTGACGAAGCGCCCCACATGCTGGTCGTGTACTCCGCGAACGGGGAGACGTATAAGCTGAGAGGTGCGTGCTCCTCCCCGCGCCTCCGCAGGCCTGTGGGCTACGCTCTTGGTTGCTGGGATAGTAGGTCCCCCACTCCCATTTTTATTTATTTATTTATTTTATTTCCAGAGAGTATGTGCACTCCCCAAAGAGAGAGGGGGAGGAGATTATCTCCAGTGGGGTGTGGTCATGGCACAGTCTCCTCCATTCCTGGGTCTCATGAGGATTGTTTTTTTAACTTGTTGCCAGAGGGAGCGTGCTTGCTGGAGAGGAACAGATTATGGGGGGGCAGTGATAAGGCCTCCCCCATGGGGCGTGGTCACACCACAGTCCCTTCTCCATATCTCCCTCCTTTTGGGATTTTGCACACCCACGCACATGTGCCTGTGTTTTTAGCTGCCAGGTCTGGGATTCGAACTGTGCAAATGACCTTTGGGAACTCAGCTGCCTTAACCACCATGCCACTGGCTGGCTCTGACTTTATAAAAATCAGCTCCAACAGTTTGCTGTGCTTGGGAGGACTGCGGGGACAGACACACTAGGGTGGGGAGATGGAGCCCATGCTGGAATGGCTTGTCCTAACTAACTGGGGAATTACGGACAAGTTAAAGGGGAGCGACTGCAAATTCAGCTACGCCCCGAGGGCTTCTGGAGAGTGTTTTTCTTTCTTATTCTATTTTATTCATTTTATTTTTGCCATAGGGCCTGAGAGAGACAGAGACAGAGAAAAAACTGGAGAAATCACTCCCCCACCCCCGCGCCCCCGGGAGGATGACCACTCTGTAATCCCTTCTCCTCCATTTTCCTCCTGGGATTTTGGGCACGCACATGTACCCGGTGTGTTTTTCAAGCTGCTGGGTCTGAGACTCAAACTGCGCAGTTGGCCTCGTGGAATCCAGTGCCTTAGATACCACATTACCTTCTGGCCAGAGGTTTTTGTGTTTTTGTTTGTTTGTTTGTCTGTCTGTTTTGCTATAGGGCGTGTGCTCACCAGTGAGGGAGGCACTGAGAGAGGGAAATTGGCAAAATACCTCCCAGGCAATGGCCACACTGCCGTCCCTTCTCCTCCATTCTCCTCTTGGGATTTTGGGCCTGCATGCACACATACCCGGCATGTTTTTCAAGTCTCTGGGCCTGGGACTCGAACTGTGGAGCCGGCATGTGGGATTCAGCACCTTGACCACCACACCATCTGCTGGTCTCAGCCCATAGAGTTTTAATATTGGCTTACTGTATATTTGCTTTGATCTTAAGCTATGAACCTTCAGTACAGGGCTCTGCTGGGGTTGGGCTGTGAGGGCAAAACGAACGTTTTAAGGGTCACGGTGTCTTCGGAGCAGTTTTTGCCGATCCGTGGTCACAGGAGAGCCTGCAGAGAAGGCAGTTCGTGCTGAGCCAATTTCCTCTGTAAGCTTCCTCCCCTTTTCTTTGCTTCTCGAAAATCAATGTCTGCCCAGTAGCATCAGAGACTAGGATGGCAGTGGAGGGAGTCCGGCATTCACCCTCGAGGCACGTCCATTGGAAAGAAATGCCAAGCTCTGTTGTAGCAGTGTAATTTGATTGCCAGACCATTCTACCAGGACCCTGTCATGATTGCATTGCCATTTGTCAGTCAGTTTTCTTCTAATAAAAGCCTTGTTTTGCACATACCCAAATGCATATGTGCACGCACACACAGAGTCACTCTTACTGCAGCCTGAGAAAACGTACCAAGTATTAAGTATTGAGGGATGGTTAATAATTCTGATTCCTTCCTTCCTTCCTTCCTTCCTTCCTTCCTTCCTTCCTTCCTTCCTTCCTTCCTTCCTTCCTTCCTTCCTTCCTTTCTTTCTTGAGAGATTTTTGCCATAGGGTGCATGTGTTTGCCAGGGAGGCAGAGAGTCACAGAGATAGAAAGTGAGAAATCACCCCCCTAGGAGGGATGACCACACCCCAATTCCTTTTCCTCTATTCTCCTCTTGGGGTTTTGTGCATGCACGCACACGTGTCCAGTGTGAGTTTTAAGTTGCCAGTCAGGCAGTTGAACCGTGTTCGACTACATGGGAGTCCAGCAATGTAACCATTACGCCATCTGCTGGTACCTGATTTTTTTTTCTTTTTTTTAATTTGCAGAGGATGTGTGTGCTAGCCAGAGAAAGAGAGAAAGAGAGAGGAGAGAGAGAAGCACTTCTCATGGTGAATGGTCATGCTGCCCTCTGTTTTCCGTTTCCCTACCTCGTCAGGATTTGGGACACGCATGCACACATGCCCGGCATGTTTTTCAAGCTGCTAGGGCCAGGACTCCAGCTTTGCTGTGGGTCATGTGGGACCCAGCTGCCTTAACCACCAGGCTGTAGAGCTGGCCCAGATCATTCTGCCTTCTTGCATAACATTTTTCTTTGCCTAAGTAAGTGCTAGGTACCAAGGAAAGGACCCTTATTATCTCTTCTCTTTTGAAGTTTATTTCTTCCATGAGCGAGAGAGACAGAGACGGTATCTCTAACAGCATCTTCATGCTATGACTCATCCCCAGTCCACATTATGGGCATGTGTATGCCTGGCAAACTCTGGGAGGTCTCCAGACATGAACCCAGAACCTTCCCGTGTGCGTCCGCCTTGCAGAACCTCTCATTTTTACCTCTGCGCCACCTCCCAGGCCAACCTTCTCATCGTTCCTTGACCGTGGTGGGTTGTCTTTGCAAGCCAGGCTGAGGGCCTGGTCCACTTAGTCCAATTTTCACTGCTGTGCTGCCAAGCTTTGCTCCCCCCGGGATGGAATAAGCTAATGTTTCTTTATTATAGTCTACATACAAATCATATTTCAGAATCTATAAAGCAGTCCCCAAACCCATGAAATAAAAACGTCTACAGTTGAAGAAGAAAGTTTTTCGGAAATGTGATAAGATTCATGTTCTCTTTTGAGAGTCACACAGTGCGTTCTAGGGGGCTAGATTTATATGGTCCTTGGCTTCGCTTTGCTGTTTATTGCTTAATAAATTGTCAGAGCAGAAACACTAGCAGGTGAAAAACTTAATGGACTTCCCCCCACCCCACCCCAGTCCGTGGTTTATAAAACAATAAAAATTGTACCAAAAAAAAAAATAAGAATCCAACTAATTTGACAATTGAGACATCCCTTTTTACCATTGAGTTGTTAATAGTTAATGTTCTCTGGATTATTAAACCAGGTTTGTTTTTTTTTTTTTAAAGGATAAGTTTTAATAGCAGGTATAAAAGTTTTATTATCTGCAGGAAATAATTGCAAGTGCTAAATTAAACTGAAACTTACAAACTATTAAAAAAAGTGGGGTAAAGTTCTGCAGGTTTATGGTGTGCTTTGGCCTGCCCTGCAGGGAGCTGGCTGCAGGGGGTCCCATTTTGTATCTCACCTACACAAGGGTGCATTGTGATGTCACCAGAGGCATTGTGATGTCACCAGAGGCACCCCACTTGGGAATGTTTCCATGCTGAGGCCTTGCATAGAACTGCCACAAACTGGCAAGTGTCCTAAGGAAAAAGGTCCTCATTTCTGCAAAATCCTGTCCCTTTGGGAGTTAATTTCACCTGCTCTTACACTTGCTTAGCATGTGTATGCCGCAGGCCTCCTGACAGATCATTTTGGATTTGAAGGAGCCATCTCTATGCCTTTAATGAGACTGAGTTACAGAACTTCCTATTTTCTTTTCTGTTTTTTTTTTTTTTTTTAACTTTATTTAATTTGACCATAGAGGAACAGAGAGAACGAAAGTGAGAAAGCAAGGCTCCTGGTCTGGGACTCGAACCACGGTCGGCCATGGGGGAGCTCAGCTTCCTTAACCACCATGCCACAGGCCAGCCCTGAGAACTTATTTTCTTTCTTCTTTCTTTCTTTCTTTCTTTCTTTCTTTCTTTCTTTCTTTCTTTTGGGGGTGGGGGAGAGCTTTTGGTATAGGGCGCATGTGCTCGCTAGAAAGAGAGAGAGACAGAGAGACAGAAACTGAGAAATCACCCCGGGGCAGGAGGGATGGACATGCCTCAATCCCTTCTCCTCCATTCTCCTCTCGGGATCTTGGGCACGCACGCACACGCGCCCGGCATAAGTTTAACCCACCAGGTCTGGGACTTGAGCCGCGGTCGACTACATGGGAGTCCAGCAACATAGCTACTACACCAACTGCTGGTCCCAAACTTCCTATTTTCTTAACTGTAGATATCTTCACCCGAAAAGTTTCAAGCTGAGTCGGGTTTTACGACAAATGACAGGCCTAGCTTTGTGAATAATAATCATTTCCAGGGGACTCTTTCAGTTTTTTTTTTTTTCATAACCAGCATCTGTGCAGTTCATATTATACTATTTATGCTGTTCTATATGCAGCTTAATTGATGATTGAGGTTTTGTTAGAACTTGTCATGTACCCATGATATTTAAAAATAATTCCATGTATATTATTTGAGAGAGGAAGGGAGACAGAAGAATATGACTATGCAGTTGTCTTTCTCTGTAACGCTCTTTGAGGGAAATTGGAGTCTCTAAGGCAGCATTTGGTATCCTTGAGAATACAGATAAAGATGGGGTTTCAGCTGAACTCTTACCTTGGAAATGCTATTGATAGTAACTCCTTAGTGCCACTTTGGTTGATAACAAAGGTCCCGAAAGACTGCTCTTTGACCCTCGTTTTACTCTCATAGAGTATAAAGAAGGTGTGTTAAAATAATCAACTGCCATGTGCTTCCTTCTCTGCCTTTTTTTTTTTTTAAAGGAGTAGAAATGGCTTTTTCAGAGGACTTTAAAAAAAAAAAAACAGGAAAGTTGTTCATATGACAGACCTTTCAGAATACATTTTTAATGTGGTTCAAGAGGGAATTTTCTGTGGCGATTCAGTGTTAATTTCTTCTTTGACGTAAATACAGGCCACTGGAGAGCCTTGTGATGGGCATTTGCTGTTCTCTGTCTGCACCCTCTACCGCTCACTCCCTGGGCCCCCCCCCCCCCCTG